GTACACCAGTCCGCATTAGTGCGTTCAACCGAATTCACTATTAGTCGCTATTACTCTTATCTCCTCCAGGAAAAAAATTGTTGTTAACATTTCCGGGGGAGACATGTTTGAGTCTAGAAGAAAAATGTAAGCGAAATGAAAACGTACAAAGTATATGCAAATAAGCTTGTCGTTATCAGTAGTTGTATATTACGTACTCACATCGTTATTTCCCTGGCCGATCGTTTGCATGGTAATATTACACGGTCAAATTACAGACACGTGTAATATTGTAGAGCGCGCGAGTATCTTTTCAATCTTGCGCGACTATTCACTTTTTTCGTAAACTCAAAAATCCTTTCACTGAACGTGACCTTCGTCACTCATTCGTATCAATAGCGATAAAATTTTTGAGCCATAACATTACCAATTAACTATTTTATCGGGCAGTGCGTTGCACAATGAGATAACAATACGAATCTTTACGTCTATATCACAGGATTGTTTCTCTCTTTCTCTCTTTAGCTCTTTAGCAAGTATTCGCACTGATGTACTTTAGATATTGCTAGTTTCACAAAGGTCGTTTCGTTAAAAACGGACGATGTGAAAATGAACGCGTGCGCACGTGTGTATTTTAGGCATATTTAAATATTATATAATAATTAACGAACTCGTTTGTGTACCAATTTGTCGTACATTCTTCTACTATGACATGTGACGAATACTAAACGCGCGTTAATAGTTTAGTTATTTGGTATGAAAAACATCACAAATTGGCTAAGAGCTTATCTTTCGTAGTTACTTTAATAATGTAGATACTCGATATTTTCCATTAGAATTTCTAACTTCGGTTTAGCAAAAGTAAAATACACTTATATATGACGTACGAATTTACATTATTCTTTCATCAAACTTTTCGTAATCGCAAACTTACGTCATCACATGTCATTAGACGTATATCGGTGTCACGAATCTTGTCTCAATTTGTGCAAATGTGTGTAAAATATAGCACGTATCGGGTCTTTTTTTTTTTTATAGATATAGACTGAGCACAGAGTAGACTCGTTCAACTATTGAGGACGAAAAGAGGAGTTTCGGGCGCGTGTAACGTCATACCTGCTGCATCGATCGTGTATTACGCAATTTAGGACACACACGTATTACACATTCAGAACACGGTAATGGCATTGAAGTAATAATCGCGCCACCCTCGTATTGGCCTCGAGAGACACGCATCGCGCTCGCCTGTCGAACTTTTCTCACGAACGTAGCGTGTCGAAAGAAAGCATTTTTCGCGTTTACCGTAGCGATAAACGTTGTAAGATTTTACAACGAAATCCGTCCATTCGCTATGTTTCTGCGGAACTTTTTATTCAAACCGAGGATTCTCTATTTACTTTATTAGATGTAGATCGGCCTGGTATAGGGCGCCCACGAACTTTTCTCCCAGACGGGGGATCGTATTTCATCGTTACATTTTCACCGCATTAACGATCGAAGCAATTAACGCTATCTGCCTCAATACAGCATATGGTTGCGAGAGATAAAGGAATCGCTTTCTATTTCCCAGCTAACGTCATTACCAATACGCTATGTGTACGAATACAAAGGCTCCTTTAATTGCTTTAATTACCTAGGCACCAATGCTTTCGAACATTGTAGGAGAGAAGCGAGATCTCTTTTGCGTTCCGTATTATACAATTCGTAATTATCTATTATTCTATTCTATCCTCTCCATGATCGCGATACGTTAGATGTATCAGTATTCACACACACTGTTTTTCGATTATCTTTGATAAGCGGTTAACCCATTTTTTATTTTAATGTATCAACCCAAACGTCTCCTGTTTCTCAACTTTTATGATAGAAATCCGCTAATTCACTCTTAGTTTGAAATATTTACAAGAAGAATTGAAGGATTCTTGACTTTCTTTTCATTCTACAAAATCTATCTTTGATATCGGATCGCATCATGATGCTTTGAATAAATCTGGTTAAGTCCGTTATTCGGATTTATTTTGACCCATTTTTATTTTTAAAATACGCTAACACACCGTATTGATTGTCGCGCTTATAAATTCATTTCATTAAAACCATGTGATATTGATGCGTATACGTTTTTAAACTGTAATCGCGCATGTAAAAAGGTACACTCTGGAAACGAAACGAAAGGCGTAAGAATTTTCTTTCTTTTTTTTTTTCGGGAAAATGCAAAGAGCTAAATGTGCGTCTCTCGCGTGATGATAATTCTATACGCAAAACAATCATTGAAGCTATACACTGAGAAAAAAAAGTTGCTGTTTCAAAAAAATATAGTTGATTCAACTAAATGTAGCGGTCACGGACTGTCGAGCAAATATTTGTTAACTCAACTAAATATTTGTTAATTCAAACAAATAACATATTTTAAATTACAAGATTTTGTTAATCTAAATATATAAATATTCGAACTAAATAATCATTACGAATTAAGCATTTAGTCAAGTTAACAACTTTTTTTTCTCAGTATAAGTGAACTCCATGATTATTTGCAATGATCGCGTCAATTAGCATCGATAAAATTGCCGACGCGAGACGTTGCTTTTCGTACATTTTGCATCACGCGTTTGTGTGCATTTGCCGCGACTAGAAAGCAATTTGAATATAATGTACGATGAATCATTATTCTCTTAGCGATCAGTTGCGTTTTCATTACTGTTTCTGACTGGATCAGTTTTCTCGCACTTCTCTTTCTGTACAGTCCTTGAACTGTATTTGATAAAAAAAATCGACAGTTTTTTAAGTAAATTAATCTTTAGAGAATGAGCGAATAAGTAACATCATTTATTTCGAGCGGAAATTTTGTTTCCATTTTTAGTTCAAAACTCGTTAAGATACTTTGGTGTAGAGATGAGATGGTCACTTCACACACCCGCTTAGGATAACTGAACTCTGAAATTTAGTTCGAAACTCGTTAGGATACTGAATTCTGATCTTTCAAGTCGTGACGAAGGATTCTTTTTGATATCTTCCCTGAAGAGAAACTACGTTAGAGTAAAAAAATATATATTCGTATTTATTTAACAACATTTTCTTTTTAAACGCGCTGTATACCTTCTTTCTGTTATTCAGCTGCACCAAAAAAAAAAATTCAGTTATCTTGTTATCTTGGAACAATATTTTTATAAGCGTATCTGTAAAATATGAGTTATCTCGGGTTAGTAAGGCAAGTGATTAACGCGGCTTTCAATTGTATAAGTTGTTTGTAAAATTGCAACGATTTTGTTAAAAAGTTGTGATCGTAAATTTTTTGTTTGCTCTTTGTGTCTTTTACAGTTACACTCTAAAAGGCTCGAGTTAATTAGAAGACACGTTACATAAGAAAGGATTAATGTTGCCGAAGTTAAAGAATTAACATCGTGGTTTAGCCACGATGCAAATTCGTTGACCCAGAGCATATATTTCGCCCGTAAAAACACCCACTGGCTTAAATTAGTTCCCCTTCCTCCCGACACTGACGATTTATTTGTGGGCCCGAAACGTTTAATTCGGTCGCGCTTGTGGCTAATTCTATGCTGTACCGTAATAGTTCCGTATTTATAGTGTATTACAGTAATATCGTGACAATTAATTTGCCGTCTATCGTTGAGCGATTTTAGAATATATTGCAATAATAATGACAAATCTTCTTTTGGGCGGTGCATTAAAAATGGATGTAGTGACACCTCGACGTTGCGACATTGTTCATAAGAGTAAAACTGACGAATCGGAGTAGTTCAATCTGATATTTAACTACTATATTAAAAATAATGTACAAACATAGCATATTATGAAACAGTACACTTAATAAAACAGATATAGTATAGCTAAAAAAACGTCGATTAAAGGTATTGTATTTATGTGCAATAAATGAAAAAATAAAAGAAGAATAAGATCGAGTTAGTCAAAATAAAAACTGTATTTCAAAAGCGATTCGCAAATTTTTTCTGTTCACCTGTGTATATAATAATTTTTTTTAATTTTGATAACATTTTTCCTTCTTTCTCTCCGTACTTTTCAAATATTTTTTTTTTTGTCATAAATGCTTCGATTACTTTAGTTACTTTTGCAATTGTCATTTGTTCGAAAGTCATCAATCACGCTACTGGAAATTATGGTCTGCCCGCGACAAATTTTTCGAGAACCGAGATAAATATTCCGTTTTTTATTTTTTTTTTTATTAATTTTTTTAGGAGAATACCTGTCACAGAGTAAACGTACGTTTTATCTCAACACTTGGTTAAAAATTCCGTTGTATTAGCTCGTCGCTGCGGTAGCTCAATTATCAATTCCAATTGAAAAACACGCTCTCCTCCCATAACAACGTCGCGCACGACATCATTCCCTTTTATTCCGCTTGAAAGCCACAATCTCGCAGTGGTAAACGATTCGACACTTTGTTTGCCGGTCCGTGGGCTCTCTGAAGCACACGCCAGCCGGCGCTTTGCGAACTTGTTCGTATACGCACGGCATCGTAATCGATACATGAAAGTGACACGCGCTCGAGTTTCCATTGAATATTAGGTTTTAAAGCGCGGTCCAGTTCTGTCGCTCTCCGCGAACTGTCGTGCTTATTTATCGCTCATAGCCTTTTCCCGTAACACCCCGACGAGCGAAACGCATTAAATCTAGAGAGACGAGTAACGTGGGAATCATTTAAAAGCCAAACGTCCCTTTCTACCGGTAACTTTTCCGTTCTTTTTTTTTTTTGTTTAAAATTTTCTCGTGACAAAATATTTTTCTTGAATAAAACCTTTAAATACTCGACGACTTATATCTTGTAAAATACAAATATATAAATTTTATTTACATAATTTACTTATTTTTGTAATCTCTTTACCGTCATGATTACGTTCCCTATTTTGACAACGAAAAAGTATAAGCTTCGTTGTTTTTACATACGAATATTATCATGTTTTTCTACATTGTTTATTATAGATAATATAGATTGATATAATTTTAATTTCCAAATTAATAAATGTGTGTCTTTTTTTGTGTTGCAGTGTTCTTAATATTCCATCCAGTGTGATTTCGAAGATTTGCCTCTTATTCAAGACGTGGTGCAACAATGGGTCGAAAGAAGATTCAGATTTCACGTATCACGGACGAACGGAATCGTCAGGTAATTTTAAATATTTTCAGTCAAACAAGGCTGACGTTTCTGTAGCGATTTAACGGCGCTCATTATTGCAATTAGTACATATTTTGGAAAGTTGTTATGGGGAAAATTGGAGCGTACAAGTAGAAATTTGTTTTTCATCTTTTATCATTACAAAGAAATATCAATTTCCGAGTATCACAAGTCAGTATTTTGAATAGACGTTTATAAATTTTACTTTTTGCTTTTCTACATAAAGTATAGAATAGTGCATAATTAAGATAATCGTCTCGGATATGAACACGGCGGCTCTATAGATACATTTTTTTCTTAAAATAAATTTACGCTCGCGATGAGAAAGAAAAACGTAAGAACGCGTATAAAAAGATCAAACTTGTTAATTATTTATGCGATTTTACATAACGTGACTGATCGGGCAATTAAATAACGATGAATCAATTATCGCGAAACGAAGAATATTGGCTGCACCTACCTTTATTAGCAGCCTTATTGACTCAAAACCTTGCTGAATTTAACCTTCGATGCGATCCCCCCTTCTGCTTTTATATGCGACAGGTGACCTTTAACAAACGGAAATTTGGCGTGATGAAGAAGGCGTACGAACTGTCGGTACTGTGCGACTGCGAGATCGCGTTGATTATCTTCAGTTCGAGCAACAAGCTGTACCAGTATGCGAGCACCGACATGGACAAGGTTCTCCTCAAGTACACCGAGTACAACGAACCCCACGAGTCTCTCACTAACAAGAATATTATCGAGGTGAGTCCATTTATCCGTCACGGATTCTCAGGATGAACGAGGATGCGCCAAGGATCGAAGTATTGATGTCGTCGCCGATTTTTTTGTAAATGCCTCTCTCTCTTTCACTAAAATTTTCGATGGGGAAAGAAATATATATCTCACGTTTATAGATATGTATATATGCCAAGGTCAAGACAGTAGTGTTGAATATACAGGGTGTATCGAAGAAGCTTGCTACGAATTATAAATGATAAAAAGGATTGAAAAGGACCTCGGCTGTTTCAATGGATTAGAATACAGTTAAATTTTATTTGATTGAACGTTACTACGTATTGAAGGTTTTTTTTTTTTTTTCAAAAATACGAATAAAAATAGCAGGGTCAATTTTCAAACATACATACTCGGGCCTTAGTTTAATGAAATTTTAACTTAGCAGTTCATAAATTCTCGTGTTAGGTGTCAAGACTTTGAAAATTGACTAATTTGAAAGAACATTAAATTTAAAAAAATAATATTTAAAAATCTGTTATAACATATGTGGTTACGCCGCGATACATGTATTTACATATAGTGTTGTTTTAAGATAACTGAGAAGTTTTGGAATGATCATTCTCTTTAGACATATTTTTTTTTAATTTTATCATATTATATTAGGTGTGTTCATAATTTACAAAGAATATAAAATCGATGTTTCACATACAATACCGTCTTACACACTTGCGGAACGCGGTTTCACTTCGATGAGAGCAACGCGATCCCTTTTTCCTTTTCTACGCGAACATAATTGCGAGAATAAACCGGGTAGGATAAGAAGCGCGCGTCTTGGTGTTAAATTAACGTGCATGTGAAGGTTGAGTGCCCTCGGGCGGTGTGGTCACGTGAACCTGTCTGCTGACACTTGCAGGCGCTCAACAAGAAGGAACATAAGGGTGCCATGTCTCCAGAGAGTCCGGAACCCGACGCAATCGAATATAATCTTACCCCGCGCACCGAGGCCAAATATACGAAGATCGACGAGGAGTTTCAGATGATGATGCAGAGGCATCAGCACAATGGCAGCAGGGTAAATATTCAAATCAAGTTAAATGTCAGTTGTATCGAGCCGAGCTTATGTTTATGCAAAAGAAAAAGTTACAGTTTTTTTTATTATGCTTACCACACATTTATGCAAAACGCCAATTAATTTATTCGTCTGAAATATCTTTTAGAAATTTTTTATAATCTTTACGGAATGTGAATATAATACCTAGATATTTCTATATAATAATTTTTGATATCGGGCTCCTTGAAACATGTTATTCAAAATATTTAAAACTGTCTAGTTTTATTTATATAAGGACTATTTAAACAAGTTAGTTAATGTCTTAAATTAACTTTATTGCCTTTGTTAAAATAATTGATATGTGAATATTATGTTTTATTAAAAATCTTAGTACGGCCCCTATCACGAGGCACAGATCAATTTTTGTAAATGTAGGTTACGATTATTTTTGAGCTTATTTTTCTACAAAGAGTGAAGACACATGTGGTAAGGATTTTTTTGTTACCTCTTTTCGAGAATATTTTTGCAGCAAATGTTACGGTTATTAGTAATTATTTTATTAGTAAATATTTTATTATTTCAAAAATACATATGATATGTATGTATGTTATAAAATTATACATATGCAGTAACAATGTTTTATGTACTATTTTCTTATTATTTATTTATCATTATATAAATTAATACAGAATTAATATATAGTACACAATTTATAATGAGAATAATTAAATAGAATTAACTTCTAAATAAAACAATCAAAACATACGAATTTATATAAAAAATTATTTCACGTGTTTCTCTTAAAATTGCTTATCCAGTTGTTTTTAGGATACTATTTTTTTCACTAAGAAACGAATTAAATATGAGTTTATATACATACACGTCATTATATTACGTGTATAAAGTTAAGCTAGAACAATAGCAAATTGCAAATTTGCTATCAATTGCTCGGCACAGCGCTATATCTATTCATTACAGGTATTATTAATTTGCATTGTCTGTTGTGATTGTAGACAATGGGACAATCGAATTATACGCTACCGGTATCTGTACCAGTGAACAGTTACGGCGAATCTCTTCTTGGATCTAGTCCACAGATGGCACATACTAGCATTTCTCCACGTCCATCGTCGTCTGAGACGGATTCAGGTAACTTTAATTAGTAACAAAAGGCTAGTGGCAAATTCCCAATATTTTCAAGAAATTTGCGTCTAACTTGATAAATTATTTGTTATAGTATATCCTCCGGGAGGAATGTTGGAAATGAGCAATGGCTATCCTCCGTCAGCATCACCATTGGGTGGTTCACCTAGTCCAGGACCTTCGCCCGCACTCGGAGTTGGTGGGGGTAGTGCAAATAAAGGCAGCAATCCGTCTAGGCATTCGCCGCAACCTCCGCCTCCACCGCCACCGCCTCATCCTCACAGGGCTAATCTTCGAGTGGTTATACCAACACCACTTGCGCAACCTCTCTCCGAAGACACTAATTATGATGTAATTGTCTCATCATTATTAACTTAAATGCGTGTTACAAGAAATGTTTACTTTAATCTTTATTTTATAACAATTTTTCTGAATTTCCCATATTTATAAATTACAAAAATTATATAATTTGCAATAATTAGTAAAACATAAAGTTAGAAATTGAATTCCAAAATACAATTAAGAAAATAAATTCCTTTTTGTCAAAAATATTTTAAATGACAGAGAAAAAGTTTCTTATTAATTACTAAAGCATATATATTGTGTGTTCGAGATAAAAAGATGTTCGAAATTTACGAGAAATTCATTTATGCTTTTAGAATGCCCATACGCAGTCTGCATTGAATACACCTGTAGTAGCGTTACAAACACCAACAGTACCAGCCGGATACTCTAGTTTTGGACCAACAGATTACTCCTCGGATCTCGGAGGCCTTGCATGGCCCACTCATCAGAGGTACGTTGTTGATGAGTTATATTCGGCAGCCACCATGTCCAGCATCAGGTAAATCATATTTCATAATTATTGTTGTGAAAGAAAGCTATATGTCCAGTTGGTATGACATACTTTCAGTTATTTTATCCTTATTAATTAATAGATGACATGTTCGGTTCTAATTGGATTAAAAAATTGAATATTGTAATAAAATATTTTTCACGTTTTAATAAATTGTATTAAATCTTATTACAACTCATTTACATACTTCAATAATTGAAGCAAATTTGAACTCAATGTACATAAGTTTCAATTAGTTTCAATTAATTTCTATTTCCTCATTTTCATTCTCGTAGTTATTTCTTTCTGTTTCTTCTCTTCGCTTGTCTCTTTAAATTTTTCATATTCATTATTACTTAATTAAATAATTCGCACGGATCTTTTACTAGTAGCTGTAATATATCGACCACTGGAGCGCTATAGTTTTTTTTCGGTTACAATAGTGTTTGGCATGTCATTAAAATTGTGAGTGTTGGATATTTTTCATTTTCATTTACAGATAGATTGTGTGCGTAGTAAAATCACACTATTATGGGAAAATTATCAAATATATTATCAAAAGTACATTCCCACAAATCACATCATGATTTGATTAACTTTCATTCATACTTTATGCATGATTGCACGTCTTCACACAAGTAGACACAGAGATGGGACGCAAAATCATAGAAAAATTATAGCTTCTCACTAAACTAGACTTGTTGCGTAAAAAAAAACATATTCACACACATATTTTCTTTTTGAATTTTTAACAGTTTACACATATATTTCCCTTGTATCACAAAACTTTTTCGACATTACAGTGGTCTTCCTCACCTAGCTGTATCGAGCAGTACACCACCACCATCCACGTCGCCTTTACCTGTAAAGATAAAGAGTGAACCGATAAGTCCACCCAGAGATCCGCACGGTAACAGTGGGTCTAATGGTGGACCCAGTAACGCCAGCAATCTACACCATACAAACTTGAATATCGGTCCATCGTCCAGTACCGGTCCACCGCCACATCACGTGTCTCATCCGGGACCTCAGACACTGAACTTGGTATCGAGCAGACCGAGTAGTAATCCACCTCCGTCCCACTCGGGTAGCATAACACCGACAAATCTACCCTCGCCAGGAAGTGGTGCAGTCGGTGATATCAGAACGAATCATTCTAGCGGTGGCGGGAATGGAGGGAACAGTTCAGACTACGAGAACGGACCGCTCATGAAACGCTCGAGAATCACGGAAGGTTGGGCGACTTAATGTCGATTAAATTGTTGCACTCATCAGTTGTTTGATACCTCCTCGACGTACAACGGCATATAAGTGCTTGTGAGTTCCAGTATAATTAAACAAACTCCTTTTAAACGTCTTTGAAACGCGTACTTCGTACTATCGCGATAACGATAGCTACGTGATGGATACGCTTCCGCCGTAACTAGCGGAGTGGAAAAATCTGTTTATATTTTGAAGCTGACACAGAATATACATTTATTTGAAGAAAAAAAAAAGAAAATACGGTGCCATAATGTTGAAACTTTATATATATATATTATATATATGATAGATACATATATATATATTTTCATGTATATAATATGAAGTGTTGTTTGTATATATGTCATAAAATTCGTACTAACTTTCGCGATATGGCATTAAGTCCTTGATGCTTATCGTACGAAAATTTATGCGAAAGGAAACAGTATGTTAGGGAATAACGCAGTACCCCCAAATTATGAAATTTCTGAAAGTGTAATACTGAATCTAAATGAGCTTGTGAGAAAATCTACACGTAGTGTAAGATTTATAAAGACCAGAACTTACCATTGCAATTCATTGTTGTTTTGTATGGTATAGTAGTCAGAATACGCCATAACCCGTTAATATGATCTCGCGCTGCAAAAATATGCTTTGTTCAGAAACATTGCCATTGCAGTTCGCAAATATTATATTCCATTAAATATATCATCAGCCGTTTATTTATGGGCAACTTGCTTGTTCGCGGAAAATGCAAACTTTCTTATTAATTGCAGTTTTCTACTTTGTTAGAATTTTATCAAAAAGAAATTTCATATTTTATTTTGCATATTAAGAGATTTTTATATTTTTGAATTAACCAACTAATTCTATTGTTAACGTGAGTTCATTAACGGTCTGTGGTTTCCGAACATATGGAAATCGGCTGCTGTACTCAACTTTTCATGATATTCTATAGAACAAGATTCGAAATTAATATATTGAGTTATATGAGGTAATATGAGATAGATAGGCATATTATATAGTGTTGATTAATTAAAAAAGATATACACACAGCGCGCGTATAGATATATACATACATATATATATATATATACACGTTATATACATTTTCCACAAGTATTTTGCACATTTGTATAAAGAAAGATTATGGAGGAAGAAAACTTGAAAACTTTGCAACCCTTGAAGCCTAAAAATATGTAACGAGAGTTTGTATACTACAGGTGTATGCCGTATACTAAAAATGTGATTAAACAAAACTTATGATAAGGAGGATTGAGTGATATTAATGTTAATAACTTTAATCGTAAATTTTTAAAGAAACCAAAATTACACACATTTCTAAATACACTTCATTATATTTGCCATGATCAATTTTATATAATTTTAACCTGTAGTTTTTTTAAATACAAAAACACTTCCAAAAGGATTGATTGTACATAGAAAACGAAATTGTTCTGAAGGTGAGAATTTAAAAAATCTTTCGTCGCAGAGATCCATTCTGTGATATGTAAGAAGTTATACAAATATATAGAAGAGATTATCCTTTTCGATATCAGAAACGCGACCTTCTCGGCCAACAATCATGTAAAGATAAATTTAAAAAGATCTTGGCAAAACAGGGTTGCAATTGTGTAACGATGTAGAATTACCTTCTTCCTGAAATCAGTAAGATGAAAATGTGTCAAGATGGTTTCAATGTATGTTTTACAATCTCAGGATGTATCCTGGTGAAAATCGTTCTCGAGAGTTGTATTTGATAAATTATTGTAATTAACGTACTAATGGAATATGCAGGTATATGAATGAATAGTGCCTGGCACCATTTGTGGCCCTCCTGTTAGGATGCTTTCCCAAATCGTATATGCAGTACAATTTGTTAATAAAGTCTTGGAAATAATAAGCTACTTAAGCGCGATATATATATACATATACGAGGAAACGATATATGATGTTGTAAGCTTTATAATGTGACTTTTTGACAAATAGCGTGGGAAGGCAACCTCTATTATAATCGAAGGTTGTACGGTGAGGTATAACCCTCGATATTCATTTTCTTTATTAATGCATATATTAGAAATGTTTCATATGACTGTACGAACAATCGGTATGTGGAATATGAAAGCGTAATGCGTATAGTCATTAATCTTAATCACGAATTTGTAAGATGATCACAAAGTGCAATCTCTTAGCCAACACACTTTTTTATCAAACAAAAAAATATAAAGAAATTGTTATTTTTCATAACGAAGAAGTAAACTTTAATGTATTAAAGATATATATGTCTCCACTAGTTATTAAACTTTTCCTATTGATACGAAATTTATTATATTTAATTGATATTTAATTGTAATATATTCTATTCATATATTACGAAAGATGATTGTATATACCTGGTACACAGGTATAAATGTTTGCAAGTGGATTTATATTTTAAAACTTCGTATTACGTTTAAATGCATTTGATCGATATGTTGAACAGGAATACGAATAAAATCCAAGGCCAATCTCTCAACGTTATTTTTTCGAGAATATTATATCTTTTATTGTGACTTTTGCATAACTTTGAACGTAAGATAAAAATGTTAAATCAGTTAATTTCACATTTTATCGGCGTTGTTATATCGGTAATTGAAATTCCTCACATATATTTGCCTCTCTCACACAGGATATAATTTAAATTTAATCTCAACGGATATTATAAATCCAAAACTTGTTAATTCTTTCTCCGAAATGCCCTATTGTGATATCGAAACTGACATGATCCTTTTGCATAATAAGTCCATCTAAGGTCATTTGAGTGTTCTGACATCAACACTTCTATAACAGTCACAGTGTGATGTGAAAAGCATGAGCAGTACTTTATATGCAAGGTTTATATGTACTATCTGATCTATTTTACCATAACATACAGTACGATAATCCATAACAAAACCCATAAGAGTAGGCAATTTGTTAAATGTACGTTAAGTACATGTACGTACACTTCAATGTATATTTTTAATATGAAGTACGTGTAAGTTATATCTGTGAGCAAAAATAAGTTGATGTAATTAAAGATGTATTCGTCTTGATCGGCACAACTTATGACGAAGGTTACATTGTTATCAACATTATAGAATAGAATAAAGTTCATACTTTGCAATTTTCACTGTTTGACTGCAAATATCGAGAACTATTTTAATTTTAAAATCATTTGAAAAATGTAATATAGACAAAACATTATCAATTTTGGAAGACTTGTATCCCAGTGACTGAAGGTGTATTTTTCTGTATTAGCTTTTTCTTTTCTTTAACTTGGAAAGTTCAAAGCGCGATCCAATTGTGTAAAATTGTGCTGACTCTTGTGTGACATATATTTTATCTAAAATATATATTGCGTTTATAAAATATTCGTTTATATCGTGTTTTAAATACTCTTTGGTTACTTGCCGTGAGTTACGATCATACAGTTGTGCCTCAAGATTTCGACAGATATTCAATACGTAAAATAATGATAATTATTGTAGTTAAAAACTCAGAGACTATTGAAATTGTTGGAACGCTGTGAACGAAATGGACCATCGTTAGAAGAGCCATACGCATAAGATAAATGAGGTCTACGAATGGTTAGACTTTTTATATTGCAACATAAATTAAGATTGTTTGGAAAAGAGGCCATTATAGGCTTTAGGCAATGTTCGCAAATAATCGAATTGCAATGCACGGCACAAGTACCAGATCACTGTAACAATGTAGCAAAATAAAATACAATGTATATGTACTAGCCACAACTGTTGTCACCACAAATATAAATAAATAAATATAAATATATATATATATATATACACAATTAAGTTTAAATACAGATTTAAGTACTGGACATATCTGTAAAGCCAAGTAGCATCACATTTTTAAACGTCATAAGGAGAGGATCGTCATTTTACTGTTACTATCTGTATCTGTGCATTTTGAAACTGAAAACGGTATAACCTGTTTGATACGTACGCAATCACACCAAAAGTTATAAGATCCTTCATATATTTTTTAACATATAGTTATCGTATTGAGTTTCCGCTTAGTTTTGAAATGCACTCTGTAAACAGATGATGAAGTGTGACGGGGGACATACTTTAAACATTATTATGTAGTTATACACGTATTTGTATAATACAATTTAAAAGGGAGGTTGTTCAACAATTCCTCAAATTGCGTATCGTACTGTTACAGTTAAATTCGAAGTACAGTTACATTGTACAATGTATAAATTTTAAATAGAACAGTATGTATACAGACACGCACACACACTCACACGTACACATACATAAAAGATTTGCATCATGCATACACAACCGGATGTATGCATATGTGGATATATATGTATAAAAGTTATTATAATAATGTGTAATAGTAATAACATACAATATTATAGTCGTGCGTTACGTTAGCTGATAATTGCGAGAATAAAGGAAAGTAATTCATATAGTGCCATCATAACTGACTAATTAAGGGAATACCGATTTTATGTTTTAAGTAGTATCATAGGAGAGTATATTTGAGGAAGAAAGAAAAAAAAATACTTACAATGTTGAAGACAAAGACTCGGTTTATGTTTGTAATAATAATTATAATGTTTGCCAAGTTTGTTACATAAGTATGAAGCCATTGAGAAATTTTATGTGCTAAATCTTAAAGACATATTTTATCCTCTTATGCACATTCAATGCCACACGCAATATAGTACTTGAGTACATAAACACATATGGTTTGTGCGCTCATGGAGACGACATAAATACGCTGCGGACACGGAATTACAAAACTCCTTTGTTTGTACGTTATACCTTTGGTGCTCGACATTACCCGGTTATTGTTATACGTTATTATTACTGATCTGTATATGACCGTGCTACCATATTGCCTATTATTGGTCAGTATAATCATTGTCAGAGTTAGTGATAAATAATGATTATTTGATAACGCTCTGTGTACATCACACATACATACAACATTGTAAACACATACACATTGTGGTTATATTTCAGTGTATCAGCATAATGATATATGATTATTACGATGTTGCCCATAGAATACATTTTACTTGGTTTTTACATTTGGCAGTATTTTATTTTGGTATTATTCCATCCACCTGTTGTATCTTTTTCAACTTGTTGCGACTTGTACGTGTAGTGAGTTCTCCCATTTTGTATTATATTATTTGTGCTATTTGAATCAGAAATCTGAAATTGTTTTGTGAATTCATCATTGCTCGCATGCCTTTGCTGTGCAATATTTTGCGATGATTTGTGTCGTCCGAGTTCATATGATCTTTTTTCATTTGATCTGTAAAATATTAATTATTGTTTTGATAAGTTTGTTATCATAGAAATGTATTTTGTTACTTATTCAAATGATTCTCATTTAAACTGTATTTTTCTAAATAATTGTGTAATATTGTTAATATGTGAAAATCCAATTTATATTGTATCAGTTTGTCCCATTGTGTTTTCTAAAATCTTTCACGATACACATGTCAAGTTGCTTAATAAAACAACTTCATTATGCTTAAAAACTATAGACCAGACAACTATTTCTATGAATAATAATCGAAATATTTAACACATTTATGCAGGAAAAATATATAAGGAATAATATAACATCAATAGTCAATATTACATGACGGTGATTAATAGTATATGTCGTATTTGGAACACTTGATACACTGATATTTTAATTTATTTAAAGAAAAACTTTTAATATATATATATATATATCTTGTCATTAAAAAATAATTTTCTGTTTACTCATTATCTTTTCTTTAATGTTCAGTATCGTTATATTTCATCGCGATAATTGTGTATATTATACGCGTGTAATTTTTATTCGTTTACACAGTTTTCTCTCTCGAAGATGTAATATATTTTTAATATAGAATTTTCTTGTGTAAATCTCTTCGTCAAATACGATATTTTTGTAATACAACGTCTCTACGCCAATTCGGTTAAACTGGATCTGTATCTCGGAAGGCGCGATGATAAGAAAGAATTTTGAAATGTTTAATGCGTAACGCGAATTTCTTCTCATAGATAACTATATCTTAAGGAATATCACTTTATACGTGATTGCAAAAGACCAATTTTTTGCGAGCGATTCGATGTCGTATGTATGTGGTTACATGTTACGCTAAATACACTTTGAAATACGAAAGATATAAGCCCCCGTTTCAAGACATTGATCCTACAATTCTGTAAAAACGTGCGTTCACAGTGATGAAAAGGATAATTAATGTATTGGCGTTGTTTTTTTCCCGAATTTACAATCTATAAATAACTGCCGTCGAATCAATGCTTTTTTCCTTTTTACCTTAAGTACGTAATCTATATTGTCTTCTATATAAAATTATGTCGATTTATATGAAATTCTATTTCGTACATATATCACAGAGAGAACGATCCTGTACTTAAATCTGGACCGCGCGATGTGATGATATTTTATATACTTGTTATAAATATGTCGAAGATCAGGTGACGAGCGGACAAATTAAGACATACAGAATTTTCTCTTTTGTTTTTAATGCTTAACAGAAAGTCATTACCAATCTGTGATGGCTAATGACTTTCGCATTGTATATAATGTGTCCTTTAATCTTTGACCTATCCTCTCTTCTTTGGACGGTCAAATGAACAATTAGCTATGTGTTCTAAACTTTAGGGATCTCGACCACGCGTTTGTGCACACAAAGTACACACTACACACTTCATATACACACACACACACACACACACTTTAAGATAAAAGTCGTATGTTATTCAGTGTAGCACAATTGGTTTGCACTGAATACCAATCTTCATTGTGACGTCCACTAATGTAATTTGCAACGATTGTAAACACGTAAGATAGACATAATTGATTCTCTCAAAGGCAAATCCGAAATGATTTGATGAAAACAATCTGTGAATAGACATATCTCGTTATCTTAATATAATGTACGAGTACTTAAATACAAATATACTATATTTGAGAGAAGTGTTTATTCGTGAAAGTATATTTTTATTTGTAAGAAGGGAATATTTAATTTTCCTAGTTTACATATGTTGCAAATAATTTGACATAGTCTGCAGATTCTGTTTAAATGTTCCGAGCATAGCACAAAAAATCGGAAGATATCTCGAAGACCAAATCGCCTTTGCGACGCTTTTTAGATAGAGAAAACGTTGTTTGATATTTTTAACTATGTTGTATTGTCTGTATCGTTTCTTTGAAATTATTACTAGCACTATAATTTACGAAAGTATCAATTTGTCAATCCAATATTAATACAGATTGTTAAAGGCCACAAAAATTTTAATGATATAGATATTCTATTCCCTGATTTACGTAACAGCTCTGCTTTTATTATCTTATATAACTTTTAATATCATGAAGTGATAAAAAAATTTCTTAAGTAGACATTCAAAATATATCGCGGACTGTTCGTTATCTCTCCCAAATTTTATATTTCTCTATAAATCAGATGAGCGAAAGATGTAATTTAAATATGTCACGAAGCCCGAAATGATCAATTCTCTCTTTCATGTTTATTTTATCCTTTCTTTTTTAGAAAAAACAAAACGCTATCTTACGTGCGTACGACCGTGTGTCTATCCTCTGTAGAAATGCCTTATTATCACGTGCCTCAATTAATATTTAAACTGTTCACCTGCTTATACCTATTACTCGTTAGTCTACGTAACGAATATATATGTGTAATATCGAGTTATTCTTTGTACTGCTCTTGTAAATATATTCTGAAGAATTAATGTCACCCTGTCGTCTATATATACTGTGTATACTATCTTGTACATTATACATTTCTACCGCTCTTTTACTGAAACGCACAAACATCTCTCCCTTTCTAAGGCCCGGTTGTTCCAGCTTCAGATAAACTGAGATAAACTATGTGATGATTTACCTATTGAATAAACAAAAGAGTAAAAGTATGAGAGAGACAGTGAGCCGAAGTTTACCGAAAGGTGGAACAACCCAGCCTAAAAGGCCTTGTAGAAAAACAGCTAAATCGAAAAAAAAAGAAAGTCACGTTTATTAATTTACTTGTACATTTGTAGCATATTTATTTGTTGTAATTTTTCCAATCAGAAAGTCTCTAAGATTTCCTTTTTTTCTTTTTACTCTTATCTATTAATTTTTATTATGCGTATCGAAATAAAATTATGAAAAACAACGCTTTAACAAGTTAATTGAAATTTTAGATATATTGAGTCATATTTTCTCTCTCATTATTATATTTTCAAGCTTGATTTTAACTTTCAATCTTTAATACCTAATTTCGAAGATCAGCAATTTATCGAGACAAATTCCTGCAGACGATTCGTTTTATGAGGCCGCTGTACTTTTAATTTCTCCGCAAACTACCCCACGCCTTTATACCGCATGCTAACACACAATCCAATCTTTTCAACCTCCGTCGCTTTCTGATGTTGCGTTTCCGCACAATTACTTTCACACTTTTCGTATGTCCGTCCTTAATTGTAAAGACTGACCAGCATGTACCGACATACGAATTTATTTTCTCTCTTGTAATTGCATTTTTTTTCCATTCCAGCACGATCAACGGCACGAGCGTTATTGAAATTTATTGCGCAGAAAAACCGGAAGATAAGAACTTATCCTTATTTTTGTTTGGGAAAGAAGATATATTAAACGCAAATTCCTTGTAGCTATAGATGCTAAACGTGACAATTTGAAGGAAATACGCAAATCCTCGCGTACTTTTAAATTAAAAATTCATGCTTGCTTCACGTTGCAAAATTTTATTGTTATTTAAAATTTCAAACTCTCGCCTGACGATTTACTTATTATCGATCGTCTTCGTGGTATTAATGTCGCTTTATTTCTTCTTACGTACTACAAGAGATGGCTACACCATCGCCATAGCACGTTCAAAATTCAAACATAACCTAATATCTATGCATTGTCGAATGATTTATTCATGGACACATATTTTAGTTTTAGATTTCAATCGTATATAAAACTAAATTTAATATTGTGATTTTGTAATTACGTAAGCCGTTAGCTGAAATAAACCTCGTTGTGAAATGCCGCCAAAATCTGCACTGGTAATTCATGAAAATCCTCGTTCCCTTGTTTTAAAAAATAATGTTTATTATCGAGGTTCAGAGCATTGTTAAATATGAAGCCTGTTCTTTTTGCTAAATTTCTTACATTGCTTATCTTTACTATTTCTTTTCAACATAGAGAGGAAAAATGAATCGTACAAGTTTAGCTGAAAAGAACAGGTTTATGAACGTCAACATTTATTTCAGAATTCCAACAAAAACAAAAAGAGCGCATCAGAACCATGCGTTTCTCATAGAACAGACGCTGGTAGTGCAAGCACTTTGGATCCAGAAGCGAAGGACCGTTTCGAATTGGAATTATGCTGGTGCATACAACAAATGGAAGCGAGCTTAGCTGGCGGCAAACTTCAGGAGAAGCAAGTGCAGGAACTTAGTAAACAATTACATTCGTTGAAGAGTAACACTGCGCCGTTAGTAAAAAAGAGACAAATAATGAGAAATACATTGGGAGACTATAGAGAGAAAATGGCTGAGGACGAGCGAAAGTTTAGCAAAACTGTATCAGCAGTTAAGTTCACTGATTCTACCTCACTAGAAAAGAAATCGATATTTATTAAGAAAGCTGCTGGATATAGTACACAGAATTCTAATAGACAAACGGATGATCATAGAACAGAAAATACATTACAAAGTACGGAGCAGACTGTTTGTAATAGTAATAAAACTGAAAGTCCGTTTAAATTCAATTTCTAAGCATATCAATAAAATCAACTGATATATTTATGTAATAAACCAACTTATTTGTAATGTACAGTTCTAATATTTTATACGTAGATTTGTTTTTTATTGTTTTTAATTAATCGTTCGTAAAATATAGAATATGTAGAAAAATATAAATGTACAGGTATATATATATATTTGTTTTTGTAAAATTGTTTTTTGCATGGAATTTTTTTATTATTCATAAAGTTTTATAGATAATTCATGTATTATGAAATATAAAGAAAATTAATTTCACGTAGACTAAAAGAAATATTAAGAATTTATTATAAGAGAATACCCTTTTTCAGTTTTAATAATGAAAGATATTAACAAATATGAATAAATAAATAATAAATGAATATGAATTAATATATATGGATAAATAAGTTTAAAAATTTAAAGTATAGAATATAGTGACGTAAAATATAACTTTTAAGGACGTGTATCGAGAAGGGTCCTGTGGCGCAACGGATAACGCGTCTGACTACGGATCAGAAGATTCCAGGTTCGAATCCTGGCAGGATCGATGTTTTTTTTAATAGATTTTTAATTTTATCTACATTTTGTTTTTGTATAAAAAAAATGTTAACTTTAAAGTTTGTAGATTAATAAAATTAATCGATTAAAACTTTGAATGTGTGTAGGATAAGCATGTACTTATAAAGTAAAATTTCTTTAGACAGTTTAAGTGATATTTACAGATGAAATACGTTTAAAATATAATCCCGATCAATTTTTGAATGAAATCTTATTATTAGAGATTATTTAAAATTAAATTAAATTTGAAATAAATGGTTCTAAATATAGACGCGGTTCAAAAAGAGAAAGGAATCTTTGTATATTTAATGCTAATATTATATTTGTTGTACAATTTTTCAAGCATCTTGACTATACAATTACAAGATAGAGAGAATTTCAGATTTCTTTATATTTTGCAGCCATTATATAAACTTGAAAAATTTGTTGTACGACAAATGTATTTGTGACCAGCTTTAAAATGGATAAATTAGTTAAGGCCATGGTATGTAGAAAAACTTAAGACGTGAGACTTAAGGTCCGTCTACAATACACGGAGTAAGAAGTAAGAATAAGAAATTGACCAATCACAGTCGAATGTGAGAAGAATACTCGACTGTGATTGGTCAATTTCTTACTCTTACTTCTTACTCTGTGTATTGTAGACGGGCCTTTAAGCAGTAAGCGAATCGACCTAAGTGTAAGAACCAATCATATTAAGAGGCCTGTTCTTTTTGGCTGAACTTTTGCACCAGTTCATCTTTCTTTCTCTTTTTTCCTGCTGGAGAGAAAAGGAAAAAAGATGAACTGGTGCAAAGGTTCAGCCAAAAAGAACACGCCTAAAGAATCACTAACAACAGTAACGACTATTCATCAGTTCTCTGCTGAATACAGTCATCCTCATAACATCGTTGTATTCTAAAACATATTGAAAGAAAATCTTCAATATAAGATTTATTCGTATTGCTTGAAATCTCTAAAAATTTTTACGCTTAAAATGAGATAAATTTATAATTGGCCGTTTAAACGAGAGAAAAATACTTAGTGTAAAAAGTACAAACTATGCCACAGGTCTATTATAGCGTGCAGCATATGTGTATATATATATATATATAATAATAATAATAATTTAATCGCGTTTCGTTGCGAGTTGCAATAACATTACAATAATTGCTTGCATAACGCATAAAACATGAGGCATATGAAAATCAACTAATCAAAATCCTTTATTTGACGGAAAGGAAGGAAATAAAGGACTTTGATTGGTTCATTTTCTTATGCCTCATGTGTTATGCATTATGCAAGAGCCTGTGTACCCCGCTTTAGTGTGTAGTTATCGTTCTGAATGCACCTACTGCGACTACTCATCTACAGTACTACAAGATTGAAGATTCAGTTGGATAAGTTGGATTTTGGATTCAGTTTTGAACCGGCGGCCTGATCACTGATCGCGTGATACTCCTAACATGGGCGACAACGTGGTAGCCAACGTGCAAAATCTGACCTTGACGGAGGATAAGGCATGAATCTCCCAACTTTACATACGACTTGTACTTCTCACGTTTTTTGAATATCGTTAAACTATGCAGACGCCTTTACGTTTTCACATTTGTAGGACTGTTTATGGTGGTATTAAGTGGACACATGTTCGGGTTGGTTAAGATGTTTTCTTCTTGTCTGTTTGATTCCCTTTCGCGCTATTATTACGCTGTAGCTTTTGAATTCGTTGTTATTCTGTTGTCTAACAATAAAATTGTGTTAGAATATGTCTTTTGTTTGTAACATGTAACCAACCATTGACGTCAGGATCGATAATCTGACGTAACCTATGAGCATTGTTTCACGCCAAGTGTCGCCTGACGTATAACGCTCACCTGACAACAATTCTTCGCGTTATTGAAAATTGTCATTCAAATTCGAACGGTTTTTATTTCAAATACTTTGTTTTCAGGCGAAATCAATGAAGGCATTGAAGAAGAAACATGCACCAGTGGAGAAGTCTGTATCGGAGCTTAATCCTTGGCCCTCCTATATTCAGGTAAACTTCATTAATAAAATAACTATTAAATCAAATTAATATATCAAAAATTTAAATACTTTTAAGAGTTTTCTAAATATAATTATTTTTAATTTTTAAATTGGAATATTTTTCTACGCATGTAAATAGATAAATTAAATTAATTTAAGAAATGTAAACATAAATATATTATGTAAAAGCTGATCTTTTCTATAATTATCTTTTCTATAATGCTCATTAATTTCAATATACCTTCAGATTTCTCTGTAAAGGACGAACATAGTGTGTGTTTTGTATAGAAATAAATCTTACTCTGTTATAAGCATTTTTAGCGTGTATCTTGTATACATTATTTATATAAACATTTTTATAAATTGTAATTTTCGAAAAAATTTACAATGGTGTTATCTGTGTATGTGTTGACGAATTGGTGTCAAAACAGTGAACTGAAGGTGTACTGAAATTAATAAACATTCGTGTATTTATTGATAATTCTTGAATTTAACATATAATTATTAGATCTTTATTTTAAGATGCAATTTTGTCTATATAGGACCGTATTGTATTATGGGATAAATTGAAAAAGGAATACGAGGAGACAATTGTAGCAAAGACTCCGGTGAATATAACTGTAACTTTTCCGGATGGGAAGAATGTATCCGCGCAGTCTTGGCGTACAACTCCTTACGACGTTGCGAAAAATATTAGCCAAGGATTGGCAGATAATACCGTAATCGCAAAAGTTAACAATGAATTATGGGATCTTGACAGACCTCTAGAATTTGATTGCAAACTGCAGTTGCTAAAGTTTGATGATGCAGAAGGTCAGCAAGTGTTTTGGCATTCCAGCGCTCATGTCCTCGGGGAAGCTATGGAAAGAGTTTATGGCGGCTGTCTCTGTTACGGTCCTCCTATTGAGAATGGCTTCTATTATGATATGTACCTGGGCGATAAGGGAATTTCCAACACGGACTTTCCATATTTGGAGGGTCTATATAAGAATATAGTTAAAGAGAAACAACCATTTGAACGATTAGAAATGACCAAGGAAGATCTCTTGGAAATGTTCAAGTACAATGAGTTCAAAGTACGGATTATAAATGAGAGGATACAAACGCCCACCACTACGGCTTATAGATGCGGCCCGCTGATCGATTTATGTAGGGGACCGCACGTTAGACATACGGGAAAGATTAAGGCCATGAAGATCACGAAGAACTCGTCCACGTATTGGGAGGGAAATGTTAACGCTGAGTCACTGCAGAGATTATATGGAATAAGTTTTCCGGATACTAAACAAATGAAGGAATGGGAAAAATTTCAGGAAGAGGCGGCCAAACGAGATCATAGGAAGATTGGAAAGGAGCAGGAGCTGTATTTCTTCCACGAACTTTCGCCCGGATCTTGTTTCTTCCAACCACGTGGCGCATACATATACAACACCCTGGTCGACTTTATTCGCTCCGAGTATAGAAAGAGAGGATTTCAGGAAGTGGTTACCCCGAACATTTTCAATAGCAAATTATGGCAGACTTCGGGACATTGGCAGCATTACGCGGAAAATATGTTTTCTTTCGACGTGGAGAAGGAAACTTTTGCACTCAAGCCTATGAATTGTCCAGGTCATTGCATGATTTTCGACGTTCGATGCAGATCCTGGCGCGAACTGCCGGTCAGATTTGCAGATTTCGGCGTGTTGCATCGCAACGAATTGTCGGGTGCATTAACGGGCCTTACCAGAGTGAGACGTTTCCAACAGGATGACGCGCACATATTCTGTTCTATAGAGCAAATTAAAGACGAGATAAGTGGCGCTCTCGACTTTCTGTGGCACGTCTATTCCATTCTTGGTTTTACCTTCAATTTATGTCTATCTACGCGACCCGAGAAGTTCTTGGGCGATATAAAAGTTTGGAATGAGGCCGAGAAAGCATTAGAGGAGAGTTTGAACGCATTTGGTCAACCGTGGAGCCTTAATCCTGAGGATGGCGCATTCTATGGACCTAAAATTGACATTACCATCCTGGATGCACTTAAAAGGCCTCATCAGACTGCCACGATACAATTAGATTTCCAGTTGCCAATTAGGTTCAATTTATCTTACGTTAAGTAAGTATTCATTATAAACTTAAATTTTGATTTATAAGATTTGAATATGAATAATTCATTTTCTTGTTATATATTTACAGCGAAGCTGGAGAAAAAACTAGACCGGTCATCATACACAGAGCTATTCTGGGCTCTGTAGAGCGTATGATTGCGATCCTAACCGAATCATATGGCGGTAAATGGCCATATTGGATCTCTCCGCGACAAGCGATGGTTGTGCCGGTAGCATCTCAATTCGATGATTATGCCTTCGAAGTGAAACAAAAACTCTGGGATGCTGGCGTTATGGTTGAAATCGACATCGATCCGAGTGATACTCTAAACAAAAAGATTCGTAATGCTCAGCTTGCACAGTTTAACTTCATACTCGGTACGTACTAAGCTCTTGATAAATAAAATTATAAAAGAACTTGTATTGTAGGTATATATATTATCGTTTTTGATGTTCTTGTTATCTTAGCATAATAGCCAATAATGTTTTATTACAGTTGTGGGAGAGAAGGAACGTAATGCTGGCACGGTGAATATAAGAACGAGAGACAACGTAGTACACGGTGAAATGGCAGTGGACGAATTAATTACAAAGTTGAAAATTCTGAAAGAAACGAGAGATTCTAGCGGCGAATTAAAATAAAATCTTGATTCAGCAATTTTTTAAAGCAAATTTATTTATTTTTTTGCACAATATCTTGCTAAAGCTATAATAAACTTAATAACGATATGAATCCATTTTTTACAGTGAATTCTTTTTATGTTTAAGAAAATATACATTTTTAATTTTATATGTACAGATTATTCTCTTTTTCCATAAATATGAAAATTAAGTTAGGGATTATTATTTATGTGCATTTTACGCATTTATTATCAATGTGATTAAATATTTGGTCATTCTTCGTATACATTGTGTTTCATTATAATATAGCGATTATCAATTACTATGTTTCTACATACTATGTATATATTTATAGGCAAAAGTGTTTTAATTCAATTGATTTTAATTTAATTGATCAATCGTATTATACTGGGCACATGTATTACTTGACAGAAGTTGCATTTATGCATAATGCGATTGATCAATCGTTGAATTAAAAAAACTTGATTTATTTTATTGTTACGTAATGATAATCATGGTTTAATAACATTTATAAAAATAATCCATTTCGTGTCTCTCTGATCAATATTATTTATATATGCCACAGTCAAAGTGTTAACTCACACACACAGCGAATATATAATTACTAAAGTTAACACTTTAACTGTAATATATATATATATACATGTATCATATAAAAAAAAAGATATATCGCTGTATCTTTTTTCCATATATTAGTTACTAAGACCTTGATCTTTAATTCTTTTAATATATACATTCAAGTACAACTAAATATTCATACTGCAAATATCTGGCTTCCTCCATCTCCACATATTCGTAACTTGATAAGCTTTTAGAATCTGTAAATTTAATTGCTCTTGTGCAATAAAACTTCGAACATTGTAATCTCAAAAATTTCGTTTATTTCTGAATTCTCTTTTTGCTGTAAAAGAGGGACTTGCGAAGCTGAAAGTCTCCCCCCCCCCTCTCTCTCTCTCGACTTTAAAAAGAGAGAGTGAGTGAACGAATTTTAAGTCAAAATAATGTTGGTGCAATCGGACATTAATATTACGATAAGCAAGACCAGCAAGACTGTTGGCTTTTGTGCTAGCACATGTCATGAATATTTGAATGGGATGCGCACGCTTCGAAATATCTGCACATTTTACACTGATATACCGATATTATTTATGATAATTACGAATCACGACGTCGAGTCGATATCAGTCGATATACGTACGCGCAAAATATTTTCCATCGACATTTTTTCTTTTAACGCAGTAATAATTCTTCGTATCATTAGTAACGTTTATTGCTATTGTTGTTCGCGTTATTATTGAAAGATGTATTTTCGCCGCGTACATATTATACAGTATAACATTTGATTATCGCGGTAGTATCACTTCCGGGAAGAAACCGGAGCGACATCGTGTAGTCAGTAGTGTGTGGCATTACGGGGCGAGGAACGTAACGGGAAACGGGACGTGGTGCGTGTGAAGGCGTCGTGGACTAGAACCGTCCGAAAATGACGACGGTGGCGATTTCCCCAGCTATGGCTCATAATAACAGCGGAATAATACAAGTGGTGAACGAAAGTAATCTAAACAAGATCGAGAGGTACGTATTTCCCAGTATTATTCTACCGCGAGTGCAGTTTGTCGGGGAGCGGCCGAAAGATAATTATCGATCCGCTTTACAGCTTCCTCAACGACACGGCTTACAGAGAAGCCATTGAGAATTCCTCCAATTATAATAGCCGATTATGCCGAGAACGACGTCTTCGCATGCCCTTCCTCGATTCACAAACGGGTAAAATTTACAATCGATTGTTAAATTTTATTCGGTTGTAAAATTAATTGATTGACAGATTAATAGTATTTTGATTTTATTGATTTAAATATTTGGGAAAAATATGAAATAGTTAATAAAATGGCTTTATAATTAGTCTATAAAAGTTTGCTAAAAAAAAAAAATTTTTTTAATTGTTATACTTGGCAACTCCTCTAATTGGATAACAAAGTATATCAATATTTTTAATTGAGTTAACTTTAAAATGGCACAATACATAATATTTTATAAAGAAAAATATATTAATTTATATTAATTATTGTTAATTAATTTTTATGCTTTGGTACTTATATTAATTGTTATATATTATTTACAATTAAAATCATTGCAAAAATTCAACAATATGATTTTGTTTTTAAATGATAGTATTGAAGTTTATTTGAAATCGCAGGTGTTGCACAAAATCATTCTGCACTTTTTATGTCCTCGAGAGAAAGATTACCAGGCTTGTTACATGGTCAGATTTATACTTATCCAAGTAAACGATGGCGAAAGAAACGTCGACAATATTTAATGCATTATTTACATCCAAAACGAGGACTAAGAGGAGATACAGAAGATGGAACAGAAGGTGTAGAAACTATTATGCATGTAAATGATGATAGCAAAGATTCAGTAGCACTTAAAGGTAAATAAAATTGAACATCAAATTATATGTAAACAAACTTTTATCGGTATTATAATTATTTACACGCAGTTTAATCTTTCTTTTAAATGACAAATTGAATATTTTTAGATGAACACAGTAAAGATGCTTGGTATTATGACGAGCAAGATATGTTAGACATGGATGCCTATGAAGAACCTGATCCTGATAGCGATTATGATTATGAAGAGAGTTACAGCAGTAAACGAAAACGCAGAAAAACACGCGGAGGTGGTCATCATCCAGCTCGTAGTCATCCACCTACCACAGATAGTCCAGGCGGCAAACGTACAAAAGTAAATTATAAATTAAATATAATCAATATAAATAATAGATACTTTAAATGTAAAAGTTCTCATATAATATAATAAATATAATTATAAATAATCTGATACATTGATGTGTGATTTTAATAATGTTTTATTTAATGCAGGGTGGTGGCCGTGGACGCAAAAAGACCAACTACGACTCTGTTGACACTGATAAACCGTTCGTTTGTGACCGTAAGTTTAATCATAGATACAACTACAAATGACCACTTCCTGTTATTAGTATATTATAAACTATTTCTATTATCGTTATTATTGTTTTGACTATTATTATTATTATTTCAAATAAGTTACAAACGGATGAATTTTTTGTTAAAAAGTTTGTTAATTTTGTCCACCTATATTCATATCAATATATATTACATCTTAATTATGATATAGAAGAATCTTTATTACCTTGAGCTTTTCATTATGATATAAAATATGAAAATTTGAAATAAATTGTTGAATATTGCAGTTGAATATATGATAATATATATAGTTTTGAATATAATCTTGTGCAATGGGATAATCCAGGCAATGATAATTCAGATACGTAACAAACTATAATGCGGGAAGGTGCTTTCTAGTCTTATTTTCTCATTATCGCGGTAACTTAATATTGTTTGTTCAGAGAGATAATATATATTAGTAAGTATTTGTTTCAAGTCCAAATAGCAACACATACAAAAATTTGAACATATGGATTTTATTTTGCGGAAAATCTGTATTTTATCATTTTATTTTGTTCTTGAGTATGGGCAATCATGGTATGATTCTGAGTGCAAGGCAGAGACTAGTCGTTTGTTCCAAATATCCAAAACTTTGTGCATAAAAAGTATATGCTTTTTCATATTTATGCTCTTAAATATTTCTCTAAATTTACTAATTGAATTAAAAATAATTAAATAATGGATATAGTCCAAACATTCCATGTAAACAGCTTATAATTATTCCGTTGTGTTAAAATTGGAGATTTACCATATTGCAGTCTAATCGGACTAATGTTCTATCATTCAACTTTTAATAACAATACTTCAATTTGATTAAAACCGAGCAAATTACTAACATACGGTATTGTTATGTCAATTAAAAGCTTGATTTTTACTTGGTACTTTATAATCATCACGTAACATTTAAATTCATAATCATAATAAAATTATTAAATCTTGAATCTTACTAACTTTTGTATAAGACATATGAGAATTTATTATTATGTCGTTTTTCGAGAAATAGCTCACTTATCTACTCATTATGCACAAATTTATGGGATTCGATTATATTTAGCATAAGCAAGCAAAAGAAAAAGATAAAAAAAGAATTAGAATAACTCTTTGAACAATTTCGATATTATTTGGAAGGAGTATAATAGTCATTACTAATTTGGTCAAAGTTTTCCAGACATAAAGTCTATGAATTAACTCGAATGTGCCTGCAATCTGTTTACTTCTTGAAACCACTCCTGTTAGACTAGCAGATAATCTAAAGACATTTGGTCTGGTTGTACTACGCTCATATTCTAGACACAATTTTAACAGAGTATTAAACTCATTTGTTGACTATCGAGCTGACATTACCGGCCCAAATATCTTCGGACTAGCTCTACCTGCAATAATAACAGAGCAAGAATGTACTGGCTCACACTGTAGCGAGCTCATTCTGTAGGAGTACAAGCATCAAGCCTTGCATCGTATTAGTTTTGCTTCTTGGGCTGGAACTCCTTCACTGCTTGTCCACATATAGACTCGTAGGTGGATAGGGATGTGTACTGGTGCGGAAGGTGTGCAAATGCTATCCCTGACCCCGCCCTGTCAGCTTTACTCTCCCGTATTACCTCCCTTGATCGTCCGTTAAACAAAAGGTCTGTCTTATCATTGGACGTTGCATTGGATGGATTGCGGGAAAACAGTATTTGCACTTTTGCAGTATGCAGCGCACGGTATAAGACCAGACCCGGTCTGGTCTACCATTACGGTCATTCCCACTCTACTTCCTCCGGTGATCCTGCTAAGGAACTAAGTCCCAGTCCTGCCGAAGTTGAACCTAGGAGCGTTGCAGACACCGCTGCTTCGAACCAGCCAGGTTGGAGCCAAAATCAGCTCAGTTTTCTCACTTTCCTTTAAGTCCGCGTTCCTTACCTTGCCTTTAACCATCGCCTTTCCTTTTCCTGCCGCCTCCTCCATTTGCCATTGTCTTCAATTTTGTCCTAGTCATGCAACTACTCATCCGATAACTTATCCCAATATAACAATTTAATATATATATATATATATATTTTTTACATGTACTGCGAATGTGTGTGCATGCATTGCAAATAAGATATCGTGACATTTTTCCTTTTCTACTTTTTTAAATTGATATTTTTATAAATATGTATGTGTGTGGAATTTATACTTTTTTGCGATGTTGATTATATAATGTGTCAAGCTATTTATATATCATATGGATGATAAGTGATGTTCAAGCCAATGTGGTATAAGCGATTTTATTTTGCATAATTATTTATATAGATCTTCTTTACGTATATACATATAAGATATGTTTTACACGTAAAAATTGGAATGTTTTAATGAACGAAGCGATAATTATTTGTGCTGCATGTATTTTGCAGTAGCATGCTTTTGAGACAGAATAGTGAAATGTTTTTTATCTCCTTTTATGTATAAGAAAGAAGAAAAAGATCATCCTATAGGTTGGTATTCTTCGACGCGATTACGACGTCGTGACTCTTGAGCGTTTTGTGTGTGTGTATGCGTGTTTCTTTTTCATTCTCTTCTTTTTCTTTTATTAATAGCTCTTTTTTTTGTATCCCTACTTAGCATGATTATAGTTTTTACGAATGAGTCTAACAAGTGTAAGAGCCTCTTCTTTTCTTTGCTATTTTGACGCTTTTATTACTCCTAGAGCGATTTTGGCTTCGATTCTCCTATTAATGAATGTTGAGGCTTCGTTGAAAAATTAAATAGGTATCTTTCAAGTTACTAAGTAGCTCCAATATGTTTGAAAAGCCGTTTGTTTATATCTGTCTGTACTTGGAATCGATATATCTCGTCGTTATATCTTGGATTTTGCTGCTGGTGATGGAATGTACTGATTGACATATGCACTTTGTTATACTTACATATAATCAGATTTGTTTTCTTTGTTGTAACAGTCGGTTGAGTCTTGTGAAATTTAGAATAATTGATTCCGTTATATGAAGATTGTGATAAAAGACAAATGGGCATTACAGACTGCTTATGTGTATATTATGTATGTGCACATAACAGATGTAGAGCAATTAGTCCGACATTATACAGAGTGTTCTACTTGTAATTGTTACTTTTATCGATTAAGTCGATTTCTTCTACAAATTTTTTACTTTTTTCATTATAACTATTAATAACTTCCATATTAAAAACTATATTAATAATAATTCTCGAATTAAAATTAACACACTGGCCCGTATTCAGAACGCGCTTTTATCGATAAAAGCGCACTTTTATCTCTGAAATTCTATAATATGCGTGACGTAAAGTATAGTATGTTAGCGTGCTAACATCGTTGTAAACGCGTTCTGAATACGGGCCATTGTCTGCAAGTTGTGATTCAGTTTTTTCAATTTAGCCTCCATTTGAATATCTGAAAAAAATATATATCCAAAAAATGTACATGTATACAAAAAATGAATGTATTGTAGCATTCTTCCGATTTTTATCTGCGTCTCTTATTGTGAGATGTGATAATGGAGTTAAAGGATTCTCTGTATATATTCGGATCGGATGAACTCATTGTGAGTAGTGTTGATACAGAGAGTGTTGTGCAGTACCTAAGTACTGTAACTAATTGTAAGTACAAATTTACGTACCTAGGAACTATACTGAGGTACTTTTTTGATACTTACAACTAGATACCATTCCTCATGTCTGGTACCTATACTTAGGCACATTTTGGATGATACTTTCCTGCACTAAGACAACTTTGCTACACACAAGTTTGTATTATACGTTTTGAGATAATTATATTAGAAGATCAATCTCGAATTAACACCGATATTTTTAAGTCAATTTGTTATATCAAATCATACAGAGTGTTACATATGTTTTGTTAATTTAATTATGATTTCTATTTCAACTTTATTTGATCTGACATTAAAAACCGTTAAATTATACGAATAATGATTTAAAAAATTAAGATTGAAATATTTACGATTTATTTTTTTATGTTATTATTCTATAATAAATTTATTTACACATTCAGATACTGTGAGTTGGCTTTTTTGTAGGCATTTTACATTATTAATTAATTTAATTTATTCGAGCATTTCGTATCGCATTGTATTTTTAATAATGAGTAAGTGCTAATAAATGGATTATTTTTGAATAAAACTAATTAATGGCTTTTTATAAGTGTTTGTTTTATATTTTATATTAAACTTACTTGCATAGAATATTTATGTTTGTACATATAAAATATATGTATAATAAGTAAATATTACTATATCAAAAGTAAAAGTAAAACCTATATCTAGATACTTTTATGGTACATTTAAGGTACGTGTACCTAGGTATTTTATTTTTCTAGTATTTGTACTACGGTACATTTTTTCAGAGTACCTGTACCTGTACCTAAGTACTGAAAATAAGAGTATTTTGCACAACACTGTCGAATTGCCTCAGATTCTATTCCGGGAATATACTTGGCCCTTGTAGATACGCTTCGACATAACTGAATCGATTATGAACGGATAAAAAAAAGAGAGAATGAGAGAGAAAAAGAGAAAGCAAGAAAGACCGAGAGAGAGAGAGAGAGAGAGAGAGAGAGAGAGAGAGAGAGAGAGAGAGAGAGAGAAGAATATGAATTTGTCTATTGTCTATTATATAAAGCCAGTGTGCATGGTCATCAGCTTGTGACGGCAAAGCGCAACTGGGTATGTTGATCGGTTTGTGATCAGGTGGTACACGTCGGGGTCGTCAGAACGCTACTTCCTCGAATACCTCGAGTCCTTCCCCGGCGGCGCCTACCGCCGCACCCACTACGGGAACGGCGTCGCAGCCGCAGCAGTCGCAACAGCAGCTGCAATCGACCGTGCAGACGCCCGTCGCTCCGGCGTCACCTACCATCCCACCGACCAAGGAAGATCATCTACCGACGGCGTCTTCGCCAGGCGGTACCGCCGTCTCTTCGCTGCCGCCCGTGGA